TTTTAATCTCCGGGTGAAAAAGTGGGGGGCTTTTTGGAAGGGGAGGGGGGATTTTCCCCCAATGGGGGGGGCGGGGCGGTTTTTTGACCTTTTTTAAGGGGTTTGGGGTTAAATGTGAATTTATGGTGCCTTTTAACCCCTTATACACGGCGGGTTGTACCGGGAATAAGTTTTTTTTCTCGGTCCCAAGAGATATTATGGCTCCGCCGCCCCTTTCGGTGGCCCCCAGATCTTTTTGGCCCCCTTTCCCCCCCCCCCCCCCTCTCTCTCTCTCTCTCTCTCTCTCTCTCTCTCTCTCTCTCTCTCTCTCTCTCTCTCTCTCTCTCTCTCTCTCTCTCCCCCTTTCGGTCTCCCCCCCCCCCTCTCTCTCTCTTTCTCCCCCCCCCCTCTCTTTGATTTCTTTTATTGACACATAACAACATGGGTGCAGACGTGAGCAAATTTTAAATTTTGGTTCACCCACGGCCACTAGATACCTCACAATCGTATTCAGACATTTTAAACATTCTCCTAGTAATAACTCCTTACGTCAGGAGCTTCGTTAAACTGGCCATTTTCCTCCTGTATTTTTGCAAAGTCCAGATGCATGCACATCTGCCTACGGTCCCGTAACACCACGCCTTAGCGCAGGTAGGACATACGGTCCCCTAGCGCCTAACACTATGGGGGTGTACGGTCCCCTAGCGCCAAGCGCTATTGGGGCGTACGGTCCCCTAACAATAGCCTTTTCTAAATTTATGTTAAAGAAACACCAAACCATATCAGATGAGGGGAGAGGGTAGGGTGGGGTGGATAAGAGTTTGAGTCTTGTTAGATAGAACTATACTCGGTTTAATTCTATTGTTGTAGTCTTCACCTAAGATCCCACAATCAATAATTCCGGTTCACTTAAGATTCTGCTGTGAAAAAATGAACCAAACAAAGCAACAACAAATTTTAATACACAAGAGTCATCACTGAGATATATTATCCCCCCCCCCCTGGAGTGTAATAAGGGACTAAAACGCTGCTCTCCATAATTAATATCATACTTTACTGAACAAAAACAAAAAAAAGAAATCCTTCAAAGGTCATCCACGCTCATGCATGCGATCACACCTCCAAATGTGCTGTTATCTCTTTTTTTTTTAATATTTGAAATCATTGTGAGCTCTACTTTGTGAAAACCAGGAAACAAAAATTATTGTAATCAATAATATTGTTATTTATAGACCAAGACATACTGTTAGCAATCAGATAAAGCTCGCATCGACCCTCTGTTGTGTTCGCTATTCCTTACACATAAAGTTAGTTATGGCACACGCCTAGAATCATGCAATCATAATATCTTAAATTCAGTTTTAAAGTATATTTTTATCCATTTCTAATAATTAAATATTTTGGCATCTTGAAAGATTATCTTTATAATTTGGTATGTTTTATAATTTTATGTTACTGGGACAAGTTTTCTTCTTATTTTACACATCTTTCTGATTTTTAAACTAGATTATAACATAAAACTTTTAAAAAATTGAATAGTCCGTATAACACACATAATTTTTTTTTTTCTCCCTGTCATTATCCGTCAGCCCGTCAGTTGATCACAATCTCTCTCTCTCTCTCTCTCTCTCTCTCTCTCTCTCTCTCTCTCTCTCTCTCTCTCTCTCTCTCTCTCTCTCACTCACTCTCTCTCTCTCTCTTTCTCTCTCTCTCCCTCTCTCTCGCTCTCTCTTCTCTCTCTCTCTCTGTCTGTCCGTCTGTCTATCTGTCTGTCTGTCTGTCTGTCTGTCTGTCTGTCTGTCTGTCTCATTCTCTCTCTCTCTCTCTCTCTCTCTCTCTCTCTCTCTCTCTCTCTCTCTCTCTCTCCCCCTCCCTCCCTCACCCTTTTATTTAATTTTTCCCTTTCTCCTTCGTCCCTTCCCAAGGCCCGCCCTTCCTCTTTCATCCCTGCTCCATCCCCTCTTCCTTGCGTGCATTCCCCTACCCCGCCCACCCCCACAACGTGGCCCAGCCCGATAAGATTCTTTAAAAAGAAACGCCACAGTTCGAGATTTAGCCCACACTCGGCGGCCATATTAAATTGATCCCCACAGCGGCGTACTGCTCGTGGTGCCGCGAAGAGAGAGAGAGGAGGCTCCATTTGTTCTAATCTACTTGACACTTGACCACAGAATTCTACACTAAGTGTAAAATTCTGTGCACTTGACACAAATTAAACTCGGTCGAGACTGGTCTAGATGAAAATATGCATGACTACCATACTTCCCCCTGTGACCCCCTTCTCCAAAGCCAGCACCCATGCAGCTCGACGTCATAACTGAGGCTTCAAGCTATTATAATTATTGTGCGTTGGCCTATGGCGAAGCTAAATTATACATCGAAACAAAAGAAAACACAGCATACCAAACCTATGATAGGCCCACATAAACAGACTGGGGAAACTTAACTGGTGTAGCCTGGTTGTTTCTCTGGCCTTGTTAAGAAGTTCAGGTGTGTACCGTTTTTCTTATTAATCTATTCAGCCAACTGAAGAGGAGACCGTATTTTGAAAGTTGCCATAGAAAGAAAAAGAACAATGATTTAGTTTT